CTGCTTTGAGCAGGGGGTTGGACTAGATGACCTCTTGAGGTCCCTTCCAACTCTGATATTCTATGATTCTATGATTCTATGATCTCTGTAACCACAAACAAATCAACACACAATCCTAGTAATCAGCACTCATGAGAAAGGGAGCACAGACCAACTGCACAGCTATTTCAAGAGAATGGATGAAAGATAGCAAAATTTGTTAGAGTTTGGCAAGCACTCTTCAAAGAGCATGGACTGTTGGAGTGCATGCCTTAAGGGTGAGATGAGAGCTGTGTTTGGAAGAACACATAGGCAGGAGAGCATTGGAAACTTTCTCTCCTGCAGAAAGAAGCTGCCATATTCCCACCAGAGGAAACAAGTGTGATTTGCAGATGGCAAAAATCTATTCACCTCCAAAGCCAAGACATATCTCAGGTACTCCCAAACAGGAGAATGAGTCAGGGTGCTCAGGAGAGCTCTGCTGTGCAGGGAGACTGGATGAAGGCCCTTCAACACAGCTGGGGGGGGAAAAAATCTATAATTGACTTGGTTGGGATTTAAATGGGTAACAAGAAGGATTCTCCTACTTCTGTTAAGCAAGGGTTGAAAGAGATGCCTCAGCTCTCTCTCAATCTAGCAGTGTGCTACTAAAACAGCTGGCCAGCAGCGTGTGCATGGCTGCGTGAGTCCCCTTGTCGAAGGGATACCCAGGTGGATTAGTACAATGGGGTGCGAGTCAGGGTTCTGTGAAACAGTTTCTCTCAGTTGAGGATTTATCATACATGTGGCCTCTCTTATCATTCAGAATCAGCCCTATCCCAATGAGTGAAGGAGTGTAAACAGCCATGCCCGTTACTGACACTTCAAGGAAATAGAATATAAATTCTCCCCCCCATTGTTTCTCTCATCGTACCAGCAGCGTGGGAAGTTAAGTGGTGATGCTGCGTGCACAGCTAGTCTACGTAGCCAGGTGTTTCTATCACTGCCAGACTGGTCCTCCCTACCCCATTACCCACACTTGTTTTGTCTGGTTTTAAATTAGTCGGTAGACTCTAAGTTAGGGACTGTCTCTCACTATGCATTTGGGAAATGCCGAGCACACTGCGGCCTGGATCCGGATTGCGGCTTTGGGGCACTACCACAGTATAAATAGTAACTAATAAAAAGAGCAACCTATGATCCCTTTTTAGAACACCAGTTTTTACACTAAAAAGCCTGCAGGTCTCACCAATCGATGACTCTTAGTGTGCCAATACATATACAACACAGCCGCACATATAGTGCACACACACATGCTGTGCAATCACACACACGAGGTTCAATCCTGCAAGATGATGAGCACTCTGGACCCAGTCCAGCAAAGCAATAAAGTATAGGCTGGGGCACATGACTTATGAGGAGAGGCAGAGGGAACTGCGCTTGTTTAGTCTGCAGAAGAGAAGAATGAGGGGGGCTTTGATAGCTGCTTTCAACTACCTGAAGGGGGGTTCCACAGAGGATGGAGCTCGGCTGTTCTCGGTGGTGGCAGATGACAGAACAAGGAGCAATGGTCTCAAGTTGCAGTGGGGGAGGTTTAGGTTGGATATTAGGAAACACTATTTCACTAGGAGGGTGGTGAAGCACTGGAATGCGTTACCTAGGGACAGGGACAGCTCCAGCATTTCTGCCGCCCCAAGCAAAAAAAAAGCCGCGATCGGCGGCAGCAGTTCAGCGGCAAGTCCTTCGCTCCTAGAGGGAGTGAGGGACCTGCCGCCCCCAAATTGCCGCAGGTGCCGCCCCTCTCCCTTGGCCGCCCCAAGCACCTGCTTGTTAAGCTGGTGCCTGGAGCCGGCCCTGCCTAGGGAGGTGGTGGAATCTCCATCCTTAGAGGTTTTTAAGGCCCGGCTTGACAAAGCCCTGGCTGGAATGATTTAGTTGGTGTTCGTCCTGCTTTGAGCAGGGGGTTGGAGTAGATGATCTCCTGAGGTCTCTTCCAACCCTGATATTCTATGAACTTCACTTTAAGCATTTAATTTATTCCATTGAAGTCAATGGGACTACTTATTATCTTAAAGTTAAGCACACCGTTTTAGGGCTTTGCTGGATTAAAGACAGAGTGCTCAAGGATCAAACCCATAGCATGGAACATTTGCAGAAAGGCTGATATTTGACCTCTCTGCTTGTGAGGACAACAGAAACCTGTGCTCACATTTTGCACTCACAAAATCCCTACTGCATTTTGCAGAATAACCTTCCTACTGTAATGATTTTTGCTCCATCATATCCTACAGAATACGCTAAATTATATAGAATGTCATAGGATGATTAATAAATCTATGGAAAAAAGACTGCATTCTCTATTATATTCTACAGGCTTTTAGACCAATTTCTATTGAATCCTATTGATTTAGTTCCTATTCAAGTCTCTAAGATTTTTCCATAAGGGCTCCAGGCACAAGTAAATTTATTTTACCCTTTCACTGTCCGATCCGTGCCCACAGACAGATAGTTTCACAAGCACTCAGATTTGTCCCCTCAAGGCTAATATGGATCCAAGAACATGGGAACAGAAACAGGAGACCATCTTTCTGAGCATGCACCACTGTAAGTGCACATATACATGTTACAGGTTCTGAGAATAACGAGCCTCCGTTAGTTCCATTCTTCCCCCCCCCCCACCCCCCCACATGTACAGTGATGCTGAGCATACTAAAACCATCATTTCTTTGTTATTCCTGCTAGGTCAGTTTCAGGGCAACTGTGCTGAAGGCACTTGCCTGTTGTCCATAGCATGCGGCATTGAAGCAGACATTACTGATCTCCTCATGGATCACAATGGTCCCTTCTGGCCTTGGTACCTATGAATCATCGGCACCCCAGAGTCATTTTGTCTGAGACTATCATACCTAACAAATGCAAAGGGACATCACACTCTGTGAATGGGGAAGAGAATATATAGCAGGAGGGGCATTGTTTTAAATCAACATTCTTCAGCAGGCAGACCAATTCTGTAGGTTGTCAGCACTGACTAAGCAGGGAGTTATCTGGCTGTCTGGCAAAAGCTGACATATTATTTTATACATTTGGGGCAAAAGATATTTCCCCACACATGCAAAATGTCAGCTGTGTTGCTGAGGCCCCAAATTGCAAATGCTAGGTTTTACATCCTATTAAATAACTTCCTCCCCTGTGGAGGAGCCTGATGTTTTCATGAGGGTTTTAGTGGCTGCACTGCTAGTGAAATGTTTTGTATCGACAGCTTTGGAGCCTCTTGTCTTTCTCTACAGAATAGGGACACCAAAGGGAGCAGCCGGGCACGCTTCTCCCATCAAAATGCCTCAACACTGATCTGTAGGGATGTAGCAAAGGGGCATGGCTTCCCTCGGAGACAGACAGCGACGGAGAGCCACACCCACCTACATGCTTACAAGGGACCACTTCTAGGGGTGTCTACACTACACAAGTGTGTTTTTATTTTAACACATTATCTAACATGCTAAAATCCTAATAGAGACAAGGTAACTGTAATTTTAACACGTTGGTGAAGGTAAACCCTAGGTGCGAGCCTAGAGCTTATCTCAACCAACGACTATGGGTTAACACTACAACTTGCCTTGCCTGCACTAGGTTTTTAACACATTAAAACAGACCTTTTCTCCAAGTGAAGACAAGGCCTAAGCATGAGGTGCCAGCTCAGTCTCCTTGTGCATTTCAGACTTTATCCTCCCTGCTGAGACTTCCTTCAAGGGAGGCCAGCTGTCATGATGGTTTTGTGATATGGCACTTGTCCTCTATGAACAGAACTTATACCCCCAACTCACCATGTGTAGATTATCTCAGCCTTTTCTTCTAAAGTGCTTTAATAATGGGCTCCAAGGGGTTGGGCCCTCCCCTCTCAGATGCTGACACCCCATGCTGACTCTTTATAAGAATAGGGCATCTGGTATAAAGTCCACTATGACACACGAGCACCATCCACACATCAGTATAAAGGTCACACAAGATTTCTCTTACCTGAGCCATTTCTGCCCTCAGGGTGGTTTTGTGAAAGATACTCTCCAAAAGCCCTTGCTGCCCTGAAAGTCCAAATGCCAGGGAACACACAGCGGCAGATACAAAAAGAGAGGAGTAAAGGTTAGTGTAGGAACAGCTATTTGCGATCACAAAGAGCATTTTAATGAGTGCTATTTCCCAAAAGTCTCCTTGTTCCTCCCTCTACTTTCAGCTGATGCCAACACAAGTATACTATGATGGCTAGGGGTGCCTCAACTTGTATCGGACTGGAACATCTCTAGGAGCGAGATGGAAGTGCAGCTCCATGGTTTGTTCAGTCTTTGGCCTCTGGTGAGACTGCAAACAAGGGGACCAACTGTTGTACAATATGGTCTTGTTTCTTATGACTTGGAAACACTGGGAACTGGGCTGCACTGCCTCATTTCCGAGAGCTGCCGAATGGCCCTGAGATGGTAACAGCTACCAGCTTGGCTTGGGTCAAATTCAGACTGGTAGCCTAGTGGAGAGAGCCTCTATATTCCAGTCCCAACCAATCTTCTGGTCCTTTTTCTTTATGTTCCAACATGTTAGCAGCTCCAGCTCCTACAATATGAATAGCCATCCATTCACCTTACCCAAAGCTATGGGGCACCCATTACACTTCCTCTGGTGCTACTGAACAGGATTGTTTAAGAGGTAATTAGGACCAATAAAATAAACAAGCTCATGACAATAATTACATTTACAACAAGTAGGTAGCACAGTAGGAAGGTGAGCTGCAATGGGGACAGCTCTCTCTCCTCTCTCTCTGCTAGAGCACTTTTGTTATCTTTCTCCATCGGAGGTGCTTGACCTCAGAGTAAGCCTCTGTCTCTCAAGGTGAAGCTGCAGTTGCTGCCATGAGAGTCTGCTTGTGAAAGCAACAGCACTTGTGCTCAAATTTACACGTACTCTCAGCTCCTGACTTCCCTTCTATTCTGCCACTTGATGACAGGACAGTGCAACAGCCCTTCACCCACGCAGTCAGGGGGTTTCCTCGCTGCACATATACACTATCTCCCCAGGGTGTATTCACAAGTGTGCCTGGCATAGGTAAGAGTGGAAGGCCCATTTGTGAGCCGCAAACAATATTACACTGGGAATGGAGACTATCAAAGCAATAAAGAAGGGAAGTGATCTGATTTCCCCAGGACTTTGCAGGATGCAAAATGTATTGAGCTGGAGAGCTGATTCCACTTGTGAAAGCAGCAGAGCTTTGTTCTCTGCTTAGCTACAGATCGCAAATGTAGTGTGCTAAGGCTTTGATACGGTCATCCATCCCACACACTTGTCTAGTCCAAAGACTGGATGTTCCCTTGAGACAGGCTTGTTTTGGGGGTAATGCTCCCCTCCTGTGCCTCCCTGAGCTCCCAAGTACACAGCAGAGCACCCACTGCAGCACCCCTTAGGAGAGTGCAGAATGCTCTCTCCCCTTTGCCTTCGTTACAGTGGGGGGGGGAGGGGCAGAGCTAGAACCCCACCCCATTGTCAGGGTAGCACTCCAAGGGACACCAGCAGGAAGCCACCCTTGCACTTGGGACACTCCTAGATTTCAAGGCTGAAGGGACTATTGTGATCATCTGGGCTGACCTCCAGTATAGCACAGGCCAGAGATCTGCCCCAGAAGTGTTCCTAGAGTAGATCTTTTAGAAAGACATCCAGCCTGGATTTAAAAATGGTTAGTGATGGAGAATCCAGCACAACCCTTGGTACGTGGTTCCAGTGGTTAATTACTCTGACTGTTAAAAACTTATGCCTGATTTCCCATCTGAATTTGTCTAGCTTGAAAACTTAGGAGGATGCAGGGGCTGTTAATGTGACTGACCCATGCCTCAGGGCAAGGGTGAAAGTCACATAAAAGGCTTACCAGTATGGGGGCCAGCTCCGGGACCCAGGAAGGGGTGTGGGGTTGGGGGGTCAGCCTCCCCCAGCCAGCCCTTCTGCGCTGCCCGGCCCGTGGCACCCAGGGCTCCGGCAGCGATTGAGAAGGGCCCGGGGCTCCGGCTGCTGCTGCAGTAGTGGCGGCGGCAGCCAGGAGCCCCAGGCCCTCTTAGCTCGTCGGGCCCCAGGGCAGCTGTCCCTTTGGGCCCCAGGGCAGCTGTCCCTTTGGGCCCCAGGGCAGCTGTCCCTTTGGGCCCCAGAGCAGCTGTCCCTTTGGGCCCCAGAGCAGCTGTCCCTTTGGGCCCCAGGGCAGCTGTCCCTTTGGGCCCCAGAGCAGCTGTCCCTTTGGGCCCCAGAGCAGCTGTCCCTTTGGGCCCCAGGGCAGCTGTCCCTTTGGGCCCCAGGGCAGCTGTCCCTTTGGGCCCCAGAGCAGCTGTCCCTTTTGCCCCCCCCCCCATCGGTGGCCTGGGGGGGCAAACGGGGCAGCAACGTTAAAACGCTGCCATGGCAGTGCTTATCAACCAGTGAGACTAGAACAATATCAATACAATGGGCACTACATTAGCCTTTTCCAGTCAATACAATATTCAGCCATTTATATGAATACATTGCAGCCAATTCCATTGCAAATTCCTGTCTAATTTGCTGTCCGCACTAACCCTTTGGTCTCCTGCATTCCTGCTTTCTGGTATCCAATCCCTTCTCATGGACTCAGAGTCTCAGATATTTCCCCCAGGTGTATTAGCTTGCACTTTGCCAAGCTCCATCTCATGTAGCTGTCCTTATGTCTAATCTCTCTATGCCAAACCCTTTGTGTTATTTCTCTACCCTCACCAGTTTTCACAGCTATTCCAGTTTAGCACCATCTGCAAATGCCACTGCTGCACTAGGTACGCCCTCCTTCAGAACATTAATTGGGAAGTTAAATTAGACCAGACCTACTTCCCGGCTCTGCAGCAGGCACCCACTCCTCAATACTCTGCAGCATTGGCGTGCACAGCAGATTTCATTAGGGTGTGCACCCAGACGGCGAACATTTATTGAATACTCAATCATAAAGGACATTATTTTTATTCATCAAACAAACAAAAGAAACTAAAACTTAACTAAACTTATTTTTTTTTAAATTAACAACTAAACTTTACTTAAAAAATACAACACAAAATAACAATTTTTTGCTGTAGTGATAACCAGGCATATACACAGATACAGTCAATTTTCATGATCTTTAACCAGATAATGAGCTAACCCAAATTGATCAAAACAGATTAAGGTTTCTTCATCTTCCTGTCCTAGAGAATGAATCATAGAATATCAGGGTTGGAAGGGACCTCAGGAGGTCATCTAGTCCAACTCCCTGCTCAAAGCAGGACCAATTCCCAACTAAATCATCCCAGCCAGGGCTTTCTCAAGCCTGACCTTAAAAACCTCTAAGGAAGGAGATTCCACCACCTCCGTAGGTAACCCATTCCAGTGCTTCACCACCCTCCTAGTGAAAAAGTTTTTCCTAATATCCAACCTGGACCTCCCCCACTGCAACTTGAGACCATTACTCCTTGTTCTGTCGTCTGCTACCACTGAGAATAGTCTAGATCCATCTTCTTTGGAACCCCCTTTCAGGTAGTTGAAAGCAGCTATCAAATCCCCCCTCATCCTTCTCTTCTGCAGACTAAACAATCCCAGTTCCCTCAGCCTCTTCTCATAAGTCATGTGCTCCAGCCCCCTAATCATTTTTGTTGCCCTCCGCTGGACTCTTTCCAATTTTAGTTTAGTGACATCTGCAAACTTGCTGAGAGTGCAGTTCATACCATCCTCCAGATCATTACTGAAGATATTGAACAAAATCGGCCCCAGGACCGACCCTTGGGGCACTCCACTTGATACCGGCTGCCAACTAGACATGGAGCCGTTGAACCCTACCCATTGAGCCCGACGATCTAGCCAGCTTTCTATCCACCTTACAATCCATTCATTGAGCCCATACTTCTTTAACTTGCTGGCAAGAATACTGTGGGAGACT